TATCTATGAGAAGAACAGGGAAGGAACTGTATTGGGAGTCATGAAAACCAATTTCATTTTTGCCATAATTTTGAAGTAGACTGATCTTCTATGGTGACATCTCCCAATGGAGAGAGTTCTGATTCTGACTGCGGAAACGTAAGACTCCAATATTCTCATGACAGTCATTGTCTTCATTTTTAAAAGTTAATTCTTGCCATGTATAGAGATTAAGGCAAATATTGATTGATAGATTTGGGAATCAACAGGTATAGCTTTAATAGCTAAAACTATGGAATTAGTGGGTGTGACTAAGAATTTTAGAATAGCAATACTGATGAAACTAATGATTGTGTCTACCTGTTGTCATCTAGCCAAACAACAATGAAAGATATTACAGATTATTTACAGTTTTATTCCTAAGAATACATATTATATATTTTTAAACAAAATTTGTGTCTTGTTAGTTATTGTTTGCTTTCTGCTCGTATATAAAGACGTGGCAAAACCTAAATAGAAAAATTTATTTTGATCAGAGAGTTTTTACTGTATGTATAAAAAGTAGTGAAAACAGGATTCAGTCCTAGGCAGTGTGACTTCAGTACTCAGATTCTGCTGCCTCTTCAGAAAATATTTTGTATATTACAGTCAAACACCACATAAAGACATTTAGGTCAATGACATCTGTATGTGTGACAGTGGTCCCATAAAATTATAATGGAGCTGAAAATTTCTTATCATCTAGTGATGTCATAATTATTGTAATGTAGTAACACAATTACTTTATTTTATACGTGTACTGTAGCCTAAGTGTACAGTGTTTATCAAGTCTACAGTAGTGTTCAGTAATGTCCTAGACCTTCACATTCACTCACCACTCACCCACTGATTCACCCAGAGCAACTTCCAGTCATGCAAGCTCTATCCGTGGTAAGTGTCCTATACAGGTGCACCGGTTTTTTATATTTTATACCATAATTTTACTATACTTTCCTATGTTTAGATACACAAATATTTAGCTTTGTGTTACAATTGCCTACAGTATTCAGTACAAAAATGTGCTCTACAGGTTTGTAGCCTATGAGCAATAGGTTATACCATATAGCCTAGGTGTGTATTAGGCTATGCCATTTAGGTTTGTGTAGGTATCCTCTAGGATGTTCGTATAACGATGAAATTTCCCAACAATGCATTTCTCAGAATATGTCCCCATTGTTAAGTGACATATGACTGTATTAAAAAAATGAGGAAAAACTGTATTCTCAAAAGCTCAGTCCCCTAACTTTGCTTCCCACATGTTTATCTCCTCAGAGTCATAGCATAATTTCTAGAGCCTCTTGAGTTTTATTTCTCTTGGGACAAATATGAAATTATAAGTGAATTCATTATACTCAATATTTTAGTTTTTTAAAAACTTTGCTAAGGGCCGACCCCGCNAGTGAATTCATTATACTCAATATTTTAGTTTTTTAAAAACTTTGCTAAGGGCCGACCCCGCAGCGCACTCGGGAGAGTGTGGTGCTGGGAGCGCAGCAGTGCTCCCGCCGCGGGTTCAGATCCTATATAGGGATGGCCTGGCCAGTGCGCTCACTGGCTGAGCGTGGTGCGGCCGGTCACAAAAAAGACAAAAACAAAAAAAACAAAAAAAAAAACCTTTGCTAAGCCATTTGCAATTGGCAAATTTTATTTCAAAAGAAGGACCTAATTTACTGAAAAGTTGAAATGCTGAAGTACACTTAAATGACTGTAAACAAGCAAACTATGGAACAAATTTTAGGAGGTAATGGACAAATGTAACATTTAAGACAACAAACAGCATAAATGACCTAATGTGTTTTGGAAGAAATCCAATTAGTATCACAGAGAGTCAGAAATGACTGTAGAAGTGCACAGTGTGACCATATCAGGACTCATTAAATGCCAATGAAATATATCAATATTCAAGCATATAAATTTCACATTATTAAAAAGCTATCAGAAGGAAATTAAATTCACATAAAGACTAAAAATATTTGCTTATATAGTCATAAAAATTCTTCTTGCTGGTTAGTATTTTTGTAGCCAGCTTTAAATAAAATAGAATACATCTCCAATTTAGAGGCAAAAGAAGAATTTGTCTTTCTAATTTCTTCATTCTAATTTGACTGTATTGATTATGACCAAAACCACCTGATACTCTAATTATGTAGTCCTGGAATGTTTACATTGGGATAAATCTTAGGATCTTCTATTCCAAATACTTATATTCCAGGGAACATTTTGTAGCCTAGTCAATTAATAATAATGGATATTTTTTATAGTTGTTTAATTTGTTCATTTTTAAAATTACGTTTTCTCCTCTCACAATCTACTAAAAGACATTGATATCATTGGGGCAATGACAATAATAATGGCTCAAAATGCACTAAGATTTATTTTGTGCTTGGTATTAGGTTAAGCACTTTTACGAGTGAAATAAAAAAATATAGACTTTAAACGTTAATTGGCCTTGGCTTTAAGTTATAATTCAGTGATAAGAAGTCACATCATGCAAAGGAGACAGTTGATATGGTAGACAGAGTACTTGGGATTATGTAAATGCTGTGTTGATCCTCAAAGGAAGGACTAGAATATTTAGGAATGTTTACATCCCTGTGAGCCAAAGAAAATAAATGAAATACAGATGATATTGAAGCCTAGCGAGGCTAGACAAAACCCTTACAGAGGATTACAGCTCTAAATGTGCTGCACCTGATTATTATGGTTATATCCCCTTCTCAAATATGTCCTAAAATTTAATGAGGGAAAAAAAAACCCTCTTTTCTGGAAAGGTTATTATTTGACTATAATTCTTGTAAATGTGGGGCTTAATCATAGAACTTGAAATATTTTAACCACAGAATTTATAAAACACCTTTATTACAAAAAGTCATCTTAAATTGTAAAAATCAGGAATTTAACAGTCTTGTATAATTACATTTTCTCTCTAAATATTGTGTTAATTCTTTGTTTAATGGAAACCTACTTGTTAGAACAATTAAAGTGGCCTCTGCAGGATCAATTCCAAACACAAAGGTTTGACTTATTCATTTTTATCTTTTCAGCAGTTATATGAGGTAAATACTATTAATGCTCCATTTTCAGGAGAGAAAAGCAGCACATAGAAATTAAATAAACTATCTTACATTTAAGAAAGTGGCTGAAATGAGACTGAACTTGGATATCTGTTATTAAAGCCTGGGTTTTAATCACTACAAGAGGTTAAGGGTTAAGTCACATCTTTTACTAGTGATAAGCAGTTTCTGAGGTAGGAAATATTGTTATTCCCATT